AGTTTATTGTCAAATTGGTTTCCATACAACACCCAGTGCTCATCCCAAAAGGTGCCCTCCTCAATACCATCACCCACCCTCCCCTCCCTCCCACAGGGTTCCTAGACTTTTAGACACACATCCGTCCTCGGCCAATGCACTGCGGGCCTCCAGTTTGAGAAACACCTCCTCGAACATTAAACATTGATATTTAGGGCAGTCGTCGTGTGCTGCCGGCACAAACGCAAGCAGTGAGCCTTGAAATCACAGAGATGTAGTTAATATGTTGTCAACACATGATTCAGAATATGCTTATTCCTGGGATTATTCAATTTTTGTAAAAAATAAATATATCAACCATAAAAATGTTCTCCAAGAGAACCCACATGTTCCTCCCCATAGAATACCGCTGTGAGTCTCAGTTCTATACATAAGTAGCTATAATTTTAGCACACATTAATTGAAAAATTTTATAATAAAAAAAACTATGGTTAATTCAGTAACACTTTAAAATAAGTTGGCATTTTATTTATTAAAACGTCATCTAGTATTTGGAAAATACTTGCATATTTTATTCATTCTCTAGACGATTCTTTTTTTTTTTAAGTTTATTTATTTTTGAGAGAGAGAGAGAGAGAGAGAGAGCACAAGCGGGGAAGAGGCAAAGAGAGAGAGGGAGACACAGAATCTGAAGCGGGGTCCAGGCTCCGAGCTGTCAGCACAGAGCCCTATGCAGGGCTTGAACTCATGAACCGTGAGATCATGACCTGAGCCGAAGTCAGACACTTAACCGGCTGAGCCACCCAGGCGCCCCCATTCTCCAGACAGACCTTCATTGACAAAGGGATTCGTGGATCTCTTGGAATATAGCCGCAGGCCCACCTTCCAAGGACCTCCAGGGACCCATAGGTGGAAAACTGTGTTCTGATGCACTGGAGGGGTCCTCGCCTCAGGATGGAATTCTCCATGTAGCGCAGTTTTTTCTAGATGGGAAGAGAGAGAACAGAACTGGTCCCTCAGCATTTGCAGCCTGTGCCCAAAGTCTCCCCACATCTCCCACCCCTTCCTTGGACTTGAAAACCCTGTCCCAGCTTCAGGGAACACACCATGGGGCTCCCTGACCAGACAGGCTAGGAAGGACCCGAGCAACCAAATCAAATAAAGTGGCAGAAGAGTTTCCAGAACAGTCTCAGGAGAGAACTCTTCCGTTTGGTATCCGAGGCCAGATCTAGACCCACTCTGAGAAATCCAGTCGGGCAACATGACTACTAATCCGTATTTCTGTTGGCCTTTTTTCTTACTGCATGGCTAATAGATATCCTGTATAGAAGGAAAATGTAGAAAATGCAGATAAGCCCCAAAAACTGGGGAGGGAGAGAGAGAGAGAAAAAAAAAAAGAAGGAAAAAAGTAAGTTTACCTGTTTCTCTCAGAGATAGTAATATTTGGGTGTCATTTGTAAAAAACTGGAAACACAATTCCTTAGTCTGTGTCCAGGTTTTTACAAATGACACCCAAATATTACTATTTGGTAAGAACCTTAAGAACCTATTGTGACTCTCCTTCCCTGTCGATGAATATTTTCATATAAACTCCATTACATGATTCTTCACATGTCCATTGTGTGGCTGTAATGGAATTTATGTTACCAATTCCCTAATTCTGGATATTTGGATTGTTTTCCAATTTTTTGCTAATATTAAGAAACATAACGATCCACATCCTTGTAATTATTTTTGCACGGCTTTGATTTCCTGAGGACTAATTTTTTTTAATTTGTTTAATGCTTATTTATTTTTGAGAGAGAGAGAGACAGAGTGTGAATGGGGGAGGGGCAGAGGGAGAGGGAG